TCTCATGTATCTAATATATGTATAATCAACTATTAATAAAAGAGATAGAGGATAGACCTCTCTTTAAAAAAAAAAAATATATATTATTTTAACTAATCATATTATTGTACAGGGTATATCAGTTATTTGACTTAAAGAATATAATAAAGAATTGTCTAACTTTAAAAGAAGATTTAAGACAAACTACTAGAGATTAAAAACTTTAGCTTAAAACCAAAGATCATTAAATATTAAAGAATATATATTTAAAGTTTAAAGAAAGGTTTATATGTATATTTTTACAAAAATTAAATTTAAATGATTTTTTTGTATAAATTTACATATAAAATTAGAGTAAATTAACTCATTTGATTTATTAAGTAATAGCAATTATATGGAATATTCTGTGACTGTTATAGTAGTAAATTTGAAAATTTGCTACTAGTCTAATTTGAACTATTAATCTTGTTTGTAAAGATTTGAGAGCTTAATCAGTAAACTACAGGGTCCAAACCCTATTACAATATTCTAGCATTATTAGAATAAATCTTTTTTTTAAATACTAATTTATAGTTAATTTTTTTAGTTTTATATATATATATAATAAAAGCAAATATTTTAGCAAAAAGAGATATTATAATAAATTTAAATTATTTTGTAATTTAGTAATTTAAATAGAATAATTTTATATTATCAGTCAACCGATTTGTTATATATTTTATATATACAGTATTTTTTATATATAAAATTATAGCAAAAATATATAAAATTATATATAAACTTTATTGCGATAATGTTTTTTCATTTACATATTAACTTCAAATTAAATTTTACAAATAATTACATTAAGAAAAGGTGAAAAACACATTTTAAACCGAATAAAAATATTGCAATTTTGATATAATTTAAAATTGTAACTTTGTCAAAAGAAAAAATTTAGCAGATTTAAAATAAGAATTATATGTAAAATTATATTCTAAATAACTTTAGTCTAGGTAATCAAAAAGGTTATCTTAGTAAAAAAAAGTTTTTTATATACTAAAGTCAAAATTTTCAGTTTTTCTATATAAAACTTTTTTTTGCTTAAATAATCTGTTCTGATTTCTTAAGCAAATTTGTTCAGCACATAATTCTACATATTTTATATCTTGCTAATTTTGTTTTTTGAACTTTTTACTAAGTAAAAAATTGGGTCAATGATTATACAAAATTTTTTTTTTAAAAAATTTTAAAAAATTTTTTTAAAAAAAAATTTTGTATAATCTTTAACCCAATCTTTTATTTAGTAAAAGTTCAAAAAAACAAAATTAGCAAGATATAAAATATGTAAAATTATGTGCTAAACAAATTTGCTTAAGAGGTCAGAACAGGTTATTTAAGCAAAAAAAAAGTTTTATATAAAAAAACTAAAAATTTTGACTTTAGTATATAAAAAACCTTTTTTTTACTAAAATAACCTTTTGGTTACCTAGACTGAAGTTGTTCAGAATATAATTTTACATATAATTCTTACTTTAAATCTGCTAAATTTTTTCTTTTAACAAAGTTACAATTTTAAATTATATCAAAATTGCAATATTTTTATTCAGTCTAAAATATGTTTTTTCGTCTTTTCTTGATGTATTTATTCGTAAAATTTAATTTAAAGTTAATATGTAAATAAAGAAATATCATTGCAATAAAATTTATAAATAATTCTATATATTTTTGCTATAAGTTTATATATACAAAAATTTAAGTATAACATATCATATGACTGCTATAGTACTTCAAGTCACTTTATAACTTATATATATTTTTTACTTTTAAATTTTTGTAATTTTTTTTGCCAAAACTGTTTTTATTTAAAATATTACTAGTTTATAATTACTTATAGTACAATAATATATTTATATTTATTATACAGTATATATATAGAATAAATATTCTTGTTGCACCCTGTTATATGATATTTTTGTCACAGGTCATGTATGATATATAAACAATGATTATCATAATAATCATTGATTTTCTTTTTTTTTTTTTGCTTGTTTTTATTGCATGTACGTTTTACTAACCAACTTTTTTTTTATATAACCAGGCATCATTACTGGAGTCATCACTTTTTTGAAGTCATCTTTTGGAGTTGTTGTCTTTTGGAGTTATCATTTTTGGAGCCGAGCTAATCTTCGTTGGCATGATGTCATCGATTTCGGTGGGCTTTGTTTCGCTTGTGAATTTGTCATTGGTGTTGTGTTGTCGATTTTGTTTCGCTTGTGTGAATTTGTCATTGGCATGGTGTTGTCGATTTCAGTGGACTTTGTTTCGCTTGTGTGAATTTGTTGTTGGCGTCGTGTCGTCGATTTCGGTAGATTTTGTTTGCTTGTGTGAATTTGTCATTGGTATGGTGTCGTCGATTTCAGTGGACTTTGTTTCGCTTGTGTAAATTTGTGTTAGCATCGTATTGTCAATTTCGGTGTACTTTTGTTTCGCTTGTATGAATTTGTCGTTGGCATGGTGTCGTCGATTTCAGTGGACTTTGTTTTGCTTGTGTAAATTTGTTGTTGGTGTGGTGTCATTGATTTCGGTGAGCATTGTTTCACTTGTGTGAATTTTTGTAGGTGCGTCAATTTCAGTGTCACCTCCGGATTCTGCTTTTGGTAAATTTATTTACTATATTTTTTTGTTGTTTTGGTTTCTTGGTTGTGAAATACTAACGCCCTTTTCTTTTACAGCTGTTGTGCTTTCTTCGTTCGGATTTGGAATTTTAACTTGGTGGGAAATTTATCTTACTTGTTTGTTGTCTTGGTTTCTTTGTTGATAAGTACTAATACTCTGCTCTTTTTCTAGCTTGTCTTCATTTTGCAATTGTGCTTTTGGTTTGGGTAGGTATACTTACTTTGTCTGTTATTTTGATTTTTTG